CCCCAAAACCCCAAAACCCCAAAACCCCAAAACCCCAAAACCCCAAAACCCCAGCTTTAAAAACTTAATTGATTTATGTGTATTTTAACTTGATACATAAGCACTTATGTTTAGTTGTCTCCAGAATAGGGATCAATGCTATACACATAGGTAAGGCTATCCATAAAAGAACCTACTTGTAATTCAACAGCTGGTCTTTTTGGAGGTTGTTGATATCCTTCATGTTCTGCTCAATAAGTTGCTCTCTAAAAATCAGGGGAAAGCGTACCTAGCTTCAATGTCTTTCTCAGGGTTCTTCTCCTTAATACACTTGCTCAAATAACCCACGGTGAGGTCAACCAAGCTCTTATGAGCTTTATGATAGTTTATGCCTATACGATTGTGGACAGAACTTTACACCTATCGTCAAATTTTCTGATACTTCCGATGATCTTCTGCTTCGGAACATGCTCACTGTTCTTCTCTATGATAGACTTGTTAATCATTGACACTTCGTTCATTAAGCTTTGCTGCATTATGATAGAATCAGTTAATCTTTTTGGACCTAGAGTGCTCTCTTCAAGACTTTGGTCTGCTACTTCCTTCTTCAAGTTCGGTAAAGTCTCGAAATTAGGCTGTGAGCTGTAGGTATTCAGGTTACGGATGTCAACACCAGAACTTGACTCAATAGGCTTAGTGGCAATATTCAGCTTATGAAAGTCTTCACTTATATCAAGAGATTTCTGAGCGTCCTCCAAGAAGATCCTGTGAGGACTATGATGGTTCTCGATAGATCCTATAGTAGGCTTCTTACTTCTCTTCTGCTTCTGAAGGAGAGCAATGTACACCTTCATTTTGTTATCATTCTTCTTGATTAAGTCATTAATCTCCTTCTTCTTTTGAGAAGCTTTCTTGGCACTGAAGCCATAGTGCATGAAGGGTTTTGAGGTAAATCTTCTAGGGAACTGATCCTTGTTCTGTAAATAATCATTATCTTCTTCATGAACCTTCTTTCGGCTCTTAACAAGGGATTTTATCTGGCGGATCTGTCGCTCTACGACCTTAGAATCCGGATCGGAGATTCTTGTGCCGGTCAGAAGAGCTTCTTGAAGCTTGCGGTTGATGTACTTATCTCCATTATTTTCTATACAAGTGATTAGACTAGACTTACTTCTGGGAATAGGGGCATTGGTAACTACCAGGTTCTTGTCAAGCATCTCTTTAGTGGAAGCATGGAAGCCAACATAATTCGTCCTTTGGAATTCATTCATCTTCTGTAGCTTATTTGGAACTTGAGAACAGCTTTGGCTGATGGAGTCTTTTTATATTGTAGACATCAAAGTTGATCTTAAATTCTTCCTCCTTTGAAAGCTCGTTGGTCATTGAACGACGATTCGGCTTGAATGAATTAATTGTCTGATGGGGATATTGCTATACAGTAGTTTGAGGTGACTTAGGTAAGAGTATGGTGAAGTTTTAGATTAAAAAGTTATCTAAGTGAAAAGTTCGATAGATTTTAATGTATATAACTATCCGCAGCAATATATTTAAGCGATAGACCCTTTCTTTTGTTAGGATGTCCAAAACATGCTACCCCAATCCTTTTAAACCCCTTTTTGAATACACAAGAGACTCCAGACACTTTCCTGAAACAACTAAAATATATGTGCAACTATTCTCACAAATATTCATCATGTTTTGAGTAAAAATGTAAGATTTGATAAAGATCATGATTCAAAGAAATCACAAATATTGCAAAAAATGAAATTTCCATGAAGGCAAAATTCCCTTTAATCACGAATAAGTGTGTGTAAACTGCAGCCAAAGGATATAGCTTTGAGAAAGGTCTTTCCTCGTTAAAAAGATTGCAGAGAATCAAGTTCTTTAAGGAGCATTCCTAGGGCCAACACTTACCTCTCCTCTTTTAGAAACGCCCTTAATGACCGGTATTGATGAGCTCTGATGTGTCTTCGCTAGTTGAAATCTGAGTTCGTCTGGATTCTTATTTCTTGCCTTCCTCTAAAATATTATAAAATCATGCGAAAAATAAAATTGGGTAGATGCTTTATCAGTCAGAGTTTTCACTATGGGTGCCAGAAGTCTGTAAGGATACTTACAATCTTAGCATTTCCGAAAATGGGTGAGATGATCTTCTTCCCATATGTATTGGGATCGACTAGTGGAATAGCCGGCATACTTCTTGTCATGCTCATTTTTAGACTAAAATACCAATATTTATAAAAAATATGGGGTTTTGGGGTTTTGGGGTTTTGGGGTTTTGGGGTTTTGGGGTTTTGGGG